TCCAGATCCTAGGGCAGGAAACGATTAAGAACAAAGGGATTTTCTGGCATGACATTAGCCGGTTGCTCTGTACTCTGTCTGCAAACTGCTCCTTTTACAAAATAGGCAAAAACGTATTTAAGAAATTAAAACAATGCTCATTTATTGTTTTTAAGATGCAGCCAAACATGACAGCAGCGTCACACAAATAGCTCCCTTCTTCCCCACTAAAGTTCAAAATTTGTTAACTCCAACCTAAAAGTAGAAGAACACAGTTTAATTCTCAAATTAGCAACCAATAGCAGGAGTATAGGTAACATCTGGTCACTGTCAGCTTCCAGTCCTTCGACGTTAGAGTGTACAGGTACCAGTCAGTATGCTGGACTGATCATGGAATTACTAGTTATAAAAGGAATTTCTTCCATAGTGTGTGCAGAACAAGAATGGCAGAAAAACTTGGTATAAGAAACTATGTAGAAAAATTAAAGAATTATTTCAATCATATGGATTCTCTGGTAGAAGATAGAAAATTAATGAAGTGTCAGAAAGTACATTAATACTTAGATAATTTGTCTTCCAGTTCAGGAAGCTTGCGGTGTTATGTGTCATCTGAATTATGGAATTTGAACAAGGGCTCGAATAGTGCTCACCCCCATTTTGCTCTCATACCCCTGTACAAAATCAGATGCAATTTTATTTATTTTTGTGGGTTCAGGTATGTCCAGTGTGACCTCACTGAGAAGAATGAACAAACTATTGTAGCATGACAGAGGCAGCCTCAAAATGATTCGTGGACCAAACAGAAGAACCAGCAATGATGCCTGGAAGACCGGGAGAAAGTTGGAATGCTGTTTTTCAAGCCCTGTAATAATGAAAGTTTGGAAAATCCTCTGTAAAATTAGCCATTACCTGAAAGACACACATTAGTTAGCCACAGAAGGCGCTCATAAAAGTAAGACTCATACTGCAAGAGGCCCTGCTTGCCCACAAGTTTTCCTTTGTTTGGGCTGACTGCATTTCTGGGATCTGATTTTTTCTTAGTGTGCTCTTCTCAGCAGCAGATGGGGAGCTTTGTGATTTTGACCCAGTCCAATTATATCCACTTTGAGCCACATCACAGGTATTCTCTGCACAGTGCAACTGGTGGAAAATGTGGATAGCACACCTTCTACTCCAGTCCTCAAGGTTTTCTCTTTTCACCCTTCATCATTTCAAATGCCCACAAGCAGCAAGGCCAGAAACAGTAGTACATTTCTGGCATTTGAAGTTCCCATGATCCCTGTTGGCATGCAAGAAAGCTGTCTCTATTTTTTCCTTTAAAAATAATGGACTTGCCAGGTCCCTACCCAGATGCGTCAACTCAGGCAAATGTGAGATTTGTTTTGAGCACTCAGTGAAGTCTTCCGTCAGTACTTGGAAAGGGCTCTTACCACTTGTGTTACACCATACATAGGACATCTGTGTCTCAGGATGCTTAGTTGGCTTCTCAAAAACAATTTTTAACATTCTATTACAAGGAAAGCTTTGATTTCTTTTAATATTATTTTCAGAGGAGCCTATTGGAAATGATTGCAGTTTATTTCCCTGCCATACTCTGCCAATCTGAACATAGCTTTGTTCAATTCACCATTAGACATTTGCATAATTATCTTTACAACATCTAGGCAGTGGCACTGTACTTCAGGTCGTGAGATGAACAAATTTCTCATAGGTAAATCTCGGAGATTATAGATGAAACCATTCTCATTGAATTCTCAGGAAAATATCTTTTATGATATTTTTACTGCTTTTGTGTGGTTGACAGGTATAAAAGAAATTGAACATTAAGTTTGTGTCTTTTAAATCCAAGGAGATAAATGGAAAACCTACTACTCGATTATTAATAATTCAAGTTCAGAGCAAGGGACTCAGTGATGTTAGGATTGGTACCATCAAAGAAATATGTGTGAGTGATGGCTGGGGGATAGACTAATTGGGCATGTCCTATATATTGATTTTATCACACAGTTCCTGGTGTCACTTCCAGAGTCTCTGCTACTGAGTATGAGTGACCTAAATTCAGCTTCTCCTCATTGAATATTTATTTGAATGCTGCTCTGAAGAGTTGAACCCTCTACCTGATAGTACATATGGGTCTTCAATGGATTTTATTTACTTTACTGGGATTAATGTTTACACAGTACGATTATGTACTAACTTCACCCAGAGTGCCAAACTTCTAAAACTGCTTCCTGCTATGTCTGAGGAGCCCCAAAGGCTTAAAACTGCATGATAAATGATTCATGCCTTAATTAAGACACACATTTTTTTTTTAATGCTAAGGAGAAGCAAGGCTACTGTTAAAAGTCTAAACTCCCTTGAAAGAGATAGCATCATTGAGATTTTTCGGCTGAGATATAAAATGAGTACATATATCAGTATCTGCCAGCCCAATTTTTTCATTTTATCCCATTAGAACATTTTTAATGATTATCAGATATTAATAAATCTTAGAAATTAGATAGGTGAATACCAGCTTGTGATTTGCATTTCTTAGACTTTTATCATGGATATAAAACAACAGGACCTTTTAGTGTTGACAATGTGCTATAATAAGCCTTTAGTGTGCATTCTTTCGGTATTTGCTGCTTCAGAATAAACAATATTGAGAAGCCAATGTGTTGTGTTCTATAAAATTCTGAAATAAATTCTTTTCAAAGTATCAGATTTCTTTGCAATTATAATTCTAATGGCACTGGGCACTGACTGCTGTCACAGTTATGCCATGTAGTCTGAAAGGACATTGAGAGTATAAAACTCTACACCTATGTGGATCCCTGTGATCAGAGTTTTCTGATTTCATTCCTCTCCAGTTAGAATGTTTCCAAGTAGTCTTTGTCAATATTTAAAGTCTACAAACTTTTATCCTTGAATTTTCTATCTCATAGTAATACATGATAATTCTGAACACTACCATGTCACATTAGTTAGTCTTCAACAAAAAGTAAAGGGAGACCAGACATTTCAACTTTTGCTCATTATGTTTCTAAAATATTCATAAAGGACTGTCTGCATCCAACTTCGCCAAGTTTTCCAACTGGTACAAAATAAACACAGGTATAAACTGACTCTATAGACAGTTACACAGTGGAGGCTTCTGGTCTTCAGGGAAACTGACGTAAGCCACATTGAAGGAGTACACACTGGTGTGACATATTTAAGCTTTTCAAGTCTGAGGTTTCCAATTTTAAATTTCTCAGAGCATTTTTAGAGTCATAGAACAATGCAATACCCTCAGTATCAGCACTATTGCTTTAAGAACATAGTTGAGTGCATGACAGGAGAGACTATTCTTATTATCCTGACAGGAAAACTTCCAGGAATTAAAAATAGAAAGGCCATCCAGTCATACCTAGGATTGGATGCAATCAGCTTCAACTTCCATGTGAGGCTCAAATTTGTAGAGGAAGGAAACGACCCAAGTCTCTGAGATACCCACACTGTTTGTTTCAGGTTCATGGCCCTATACTGAGTACAGAGTGCTGCCTCAGGGATATGGATATAAGGTGTTGTTGCTTGATAACCTGGTGGCTGATGATTCAACAATCAAATGCCAAGTTTCCAAAGATAGATGGTCTATCTTCTCATCTTCTCTTAGTAATTGTTAAATCAAGAGAGTACTAGATAATGGTGATGCTGGGTTGTGGTTGAACTGTTACTTTTGTACTTTGAAGTGCATGATTCCAAGCTTTGTTATGAGGGAAAATCCATATACGATAAAGATTAAATAAACACAAGGAGAATTTGTTCTTAATCTCTCTCTCTCTCTCCTCTCTCTCTCTCTCTCTCTCTCTCTCTCTCTCTCTCTCTCTCTCTTTCTCTTCACCACAGATTTGCAATTCTCCTGTCTCACTCTCCCATGGACTTGAATTATAGGTGTCTACCACTATGCTGGGCCTGAATCCTGAAAGAATTTGCTTACAAGGAAATACAGCAATTTTACCAGGGGATGCTTTGACCAGCCTCTCCCTTTTCTCCACCCTGGGAACACTAATTGTATCTACAAATATATTTTATTTGAAAGGATGTGTATGCTGCTGAACAACCAACAAAATTCATGAAGGCAGCCAAATACACTGTTTGTAAAAAAGTAGAATCACTTTCTGAACCTTCAACTGAGACTTAGAGATCTAAAATGTCAACAGTGCTGAGTTGGGGAAACTATGTCTGTTCTCTTACAGAGCAGCTGTAGCACACCCAAAGGCATTTAGAACCTTTTGAAAGCTCTGGTGCTTCTGAGGTCGAAAGCCAATGATTCTCATCATTTAAAAACCAGCAGCAGACGTATCCATGCAAGAGAAGAATTCCCCTCTGGGTCTGCTCAGTCATTATTCAAGTGGATGGGAAACTTTTCCTGGACCAGACACCTTTGTGACTTTACCTTCATATTTGTAAAATTGTCAGCTTATTTGAAAAAACAATAGTTCATTGAATTGAAAGTTTATAGAGTAATGCTTCTCCTATTTGCAAAGTTGAGCTTGAGGATTTTATTGTATTATAATGATATATTTATTTCCCTGAACTATTTATTTAGAATTGTTAATGTTTATATCTAGTGTGTGTGTGTGTGTGTGTGTGTGTGTGTGTGTGTGTGTGTGTGTGTTTGAGAGAGAGAGAGAGAGAGAGAGAGAGAGAGAGAGAGAGAGAGAGTTCATAGAAAACAGAAAAAGGTTCTTGCTCCTCTAGACCTTGAGTAGCAGATAGCTGTGAACACTACTCTGGGTACTGGGGACCAAACTCTGGTCTTCTGAAAGAGCAGCAAGTACTTTTAACCACTGAGCCATCTTTCCAGCCACATGAACTGCTCTCTCTCTCTCTCTCTCTCTCTCTCTCTCTCTCTCTCTCTCTCTCACACACACACACACACACACACACTTTGTTTTCCCATACCACAAGAGCTGCAGAGTAGCTTTCAGTGGGTATTTAAAATTAAGATTAATTGTATGGTTCAATGTATGAACAAGTAAAAGGATGAATCAAAGTACTCTGTAAAATGTAAAGTGCTTTATAAAAACACAATGATATGAGTATATCGTAGGTAACACCTCTGATGTCAAATTTTCCCATAAGACCATCTCAGGACACAGTTTCTGAATAGTTTTCATGAACAAGTATAAACTGATTTTCTATGAGGTGCGAATTCATCAGTAAACAGTATTAGTTTTCAAATACAATTGAGTAGGAATGAAACAAAGGCATAAGAACACTTAAATAACAAAGATAAATAGCATTGCTAACCTGAGGACCACAGCAAAGAAGGTGGAGAGAGGACACATAAGGACCCTATGAGAGATAGAATTTGAAACAGAATAACAACATTCTTAAGATAGTAACAGGATCCACGAAAATTGTTTCATGTTTCATACTATTATATAAGATATAGAGATCATCCCTACAGGAGATAAAGTTGATTTTGTCATGGATTATGCCTTTAAGCTGTTTGTTTGTCTTAATTACTTACAGAGAAATGAAAGCAATAACAATTGAAACAAAAAAGACCAATTGAAAATTTTAAGTTCAAAACCCGCTTTTGACAACAGAAAGACTTATTATATTTATTTAAGCCTTGGTTTTCTTATCAATAAAACGTATGAGATGCCTTCCCACACCATATATTATCTGGACGTGATCATACTTTAAAGTGTTTTATTCCTTTTTATAAAATCTTCATTTGCAGAATTTACATTAAAAAACAAGTCTCTACCATATTTTATGTTTTTACTTCGTAGCTCCTTACGTTTGTAATAGAAATGAAATAAATGTGAGATAACTAATGCTTGCATTATCATTTGCTGTGTTTTCACAGCCTCTGCTAGGATCCTGGGATTCCTTTTATTATGAAGAGAAAAGTGTAAAAGCAGAAAAACAAAGGCACCAAGTGACTCCACATAAGAAAGAGCCCAGGCAAGTGGAAGAGACACAGCAAGTGGGCAAGTAAGAAAAAGAGCCAGGAAAGAAAATACATGGACAAAATGAAAAAAAAATGGCGAAAAAGAAATTCAAGCAGTTTTGCTATGTGCTTTGGCATTTCCTCAAGAATGTATTGCCTCGATTGTCTTTAGTTGCTTTTTGGAATAATGAACTATTCTTCCTTTGTGCACAATTTAGTCTTGGCCCTACAGATGTGCTTCACAGATTACATTGATGTCAGTATTTGAAAGTCTTTACAATCTGTATATTTAATCATTCTGCAAAACAACCTTGCAAAAAAAAACATGGGACAACATATTTAAAAAAAATTTCCAACTTGAAAATTGAGATTCATGGAAGTTGAAGTGATTTTTTTTCCAAGAAAACGCTATAAAGACACAAAGCCATGTCAACTGGTCTTGTCTTTATTCCTCTTTGTGGTCTCTTTTAGATTATAAGAAAAAATGGATGTGTTTGGAGCTATCATATTTCTTATTTCCTTCCTTCCTTCCTTCCTTCCTTCCTTCCTTCCTTCCTTCCTTCCTTCCTTCCCTTTTTTCTTCATTCTACTATTTTCTTCAAGAACAAATAGTTCAATTGAAACACTATAGTACTTTATAGAAAAATTTTCTGCATTGCTAGAATGTTGTGTGTAGCCTACAATGGTAGTCATGAGCCATGTGTGGCTATGGGTCACTTGAAATGTGACCAGAATATTGAATATAAATTGTATTTAATTTAAAAATCATTAGCCATAATTGGCTAGTAGATTCAATAGTGGACAGCAACTCTCTACCTCATACATTTGAGAGTCTACCAAATACCCTAGAAACCCTACAGAAAAACATTTGTGCTCAATTGCCATTGGCCACTAATCTTCATCTTTCCATTTGTTAGTGCTCTTTAAGGTCCCAGTCATTCACAGACAAGCCTGAACCATTGGGTTGGATGATTTGCAGCTCTGATCACTGATCCTTACTCTTGCAGTTCAGGTAAGATAGCTAAGTTCCCTTGCAGGACCATTTCCCTGGTTTCTTCTTATGGTTGTATGCATCCCATTGTTATTCTTCTCAGAAGAACACCATTGACATCCTCTCTTCATGCTCACAGAATATTGACTAAGGTACTTGTGTCTATCCTTTGTAATACATAATCCATATAAAGTCCACAATACTGGACTCCTTTTTGAAATTTCTAGAACCCCTCTGTACCCTTCCTCTGAAGTAAACAGATTCAAGAACAGACCAGAAGTACAAACAGAATTAAAGTTTCATAGAGCAAAGAGACTCTACCAGAATTTTTGTGGATTCATACAATGCAGAACTCCCTATTCTCTCTCTCAGCTATCTTAGAAAGTTTCCACATAACTTAGAAACCTTCTTACTTCCAATTTCTCTGTTACTTGGTGCTTTGATACACTGAGTAAGTCAGAGGGTCTTCTGTATTCATTTAAAAGAATTATCAATGGTTTTAATTAAAAATGGAAGATGAGCTTTGAAGGGCATAAAGATAACATTACTACTTGTAGGAACTACGTTGAGTGAGGTGCAGATGCAATGAGATTATGTGGCTGCCAATCCATTGCTTTTGGAAGCCAGGCTTATTATCAAAGCTTGTGAAAGCATCATCTTATCCTAAAAGGAAAGTCGTCTATGTATACCTTATGTGTCTGTAAAATACCAGTTGCACCAGTTACATTGGCAAGTCATTTGGATACTGTTTTCTCACCAGAATTACACCAACACGAATAAGCTGAGATATTTCTTATTGCTTGAGCATACCTGGGGCACAGATTGTCATCACATCCTACAATCATGCTGCTCGTCTACCTTTGTTTTCTGATAGTTTTATCTGAGGTTAGGGAAAAGTTACCGTCTTCAAATACTTCAAGGTGTAAAGCAAAATACATGTGGCAGAAAAGAGCCCTCACTTATGCCGGACACTGGAGATGATAATGTGACACTCTGTTAGGGGATGGATGCTGTCCAGTGTAGACATCATACATAGATTGCAAACTGTCAGTGAAGTGCTACTACTGGGAACCCTTGCTTTTTGTAACTTGAATCTGCAAAAATCTGCAAATGTTGAATGCTGTACCTTGTAAGAACTAGAATTTTTTTTTTTGGTACAAAATGCCAAAGGTTTACAGGTATAGTAGTTGGCAGAATTCTACACCTGAGAATCTCAGGTTTAGTGATATTGTTTACATTAACAACTTTCCTTTTTGACTGGTACATTTTCTTTCTTCTCTTTTGGGAATTTTTCAAAGTTTGGATTGCAATCAGAGTATCAATGATAACTCCACTCAAGGGACATTTACAACTGCTTCTTTGAATCAAGGAGAGAGGTGGTTGGAATGAATGGAAAAGTGGATCCAATAGGTGGCAAAACAAGGCATGCTGCAAGTAAATGAAGCACTTCCGGAAGTGACATAAAAATATGCTAATATTAAGGATTATCTTACAGTGTTGTGGGAGGAATGCCATGATTCATCTTGCATTTGTTTTGTCTTGATGACAAAATACACTCTTTAGAGCCACAAGAACCTGCCTTGTGTTAGTTATAAACAAAAATATATTTATATATATATTTATGTAACTACTATGTGCTTTAAAGAAAATTACTGTGTGATTCAGCAGGGTTATTTCATTCTGTTATTTTCCCCCTATCACCAGGAATATGTTCACTTGAATGATTTCTTAGACAGGTATTGACAGTGAAACGGGTTTGTCATACAGACATGGTGAACTTTCAAAATAACAGTGTTCAAATCCCTTAAGATATTTGTCTCAAAAAATGACCGCCTAATGCTTCCTGTTATTTCTGTCTGTTTCCATTAGCCAAGATTAAATGAAGCTTCTCAGGAGCCCAGGTGGGAGAGGAGGCAGCACCCCTGACAACAAAACTCATTTTATTCTGAAGTGAGAGAACGGAAACCCTCACCGGCTGTGCCCTCCTCTCTAGTCCTCAGCTTAGCATTTGGAAATTGTGCCACAGCCACAGAGAAGGTGCTCATTACCCAGGAAGAGGCAGGCATAGCGAACTTCCAAACAGATGAAAGGTTCATCCTGAGAAGTAATGAACCTGGTGAAGCATCTGGATTTAGAGCAAAAACTAAAATTCTTTTTGCCGTAAGTTTGTTTGGAAAAGATGGAGAAACCTCTGTTTCTGTTTGGTTTTGCTCCCATGTGAGCCTTTTTTTTCCCAGCAATCTTGAAGCATTCATCATTGCTCTTTCCAGTGAAAACATTTGGACTCCAAAACATGGTTATCTTTGAGACATCAGAGAACATTTGAACCAAAGGTGTAAATCCCTTGTGAACTAAAGCTTTATTTATTATCATTATTTTTCCTTGATCCCTTTGCAACCCTGCACCTAAACCAAAACATTGTCATCTTGTCACACTTCTGGCAAGTCCCCAGGAGATGTTCTTCGTGAACCATGGATGTCATTCCAGTAGGGAATGTTATAATCAGTGTACATGTTGTCTTGTACAAGTCTGAGTTTTCCTTTCAGTGTTCCTGGGCTGGGCTCGTCCAGAAATCTTGTCTCCCTTCTGGCTACAGCAGTTTAGGGCTCCTTTGTGTGTGGCTGTGGTGTGTGTCTGTTTTAAAGGTATAAGCAAAGTTTAGTCGTAACACCTGTAAGCCAGTACTGGTGCTGCTCTGTCCTAAAATTTTAGCACTGCTCTGACACAATAAAACCTTCTTTCTCTCCAACGGGCTCAACTTCCGCATAGGCAGGGTGTCCTGATCCTCTTCGAAACTTCATTGCTGGCCATCTGCTTGGGCGTCTCTAAAACAGGAAAATGCAAGAAAAAAAATGAGCATCACAGTGAGCTATGATCCTCACAAAATATGCATTTACCAGGGTGTGGATGCTGCTTAGTTTGTAGAGTGTTTGCCATGATAGACATCCTAGTTTCAATTCCCAACATCACACACATTAAGCATAGGAGGCACATTCCTGTAATCCAAGCTCTAGGGAGGTGAAAACAGAAGGTTAGGAAGTTCAAGGCCAGGCTGTGACACATGAGCATCTGTCTCTCTCAAAAATATATTTTCCAGCTAGGATATCTTCTCAAGGCATCACATTAAGTGATCTCTTATAACAACCAACATTGGAATTAATATGTCCCCCTCTGTAAGGTCCCAGAGTCCTGTACTTGAGTCTCCATTCTGACTCTACCAATGTGCAGGAAGTGGGAGTTTACTGGCCACACCTACTCCCAAGTTTCTCAAAAGTAAAGTTAAATCTTGCCTTATAATCATTTATGTCTGAAAATACCACATACAACAAGATAAACAATAATTTTAATATTTATTTATTTACTTAGTTTTCTTAATGTATGTATGTGTCCATGAGCTCATGTGTACCACACAGATGCAGGTGCCCACAGAGGCCAGAAGAGTGCAGCTGATCTCCTGGAAATGGAGTTATAGGTAGTTTTATGAGTCACCTGATGTGGATTCTGGGAATCAAACCTGATTTCTCTGAAAAAAAAGAGTAAGTTCTCTTCATAGATGAACTCTCCACTCCTTAAAATCCATTTTTAAAAAACCTCCACAGGTTTTTTGGGAGACAGAATTTCCTATGTAGCTCAGGCTAGCCTGGAAGTTATGAAATGGCTGCTTCTGTCTTCCAAGTCTTGGGATTAAAGGTGTGAACTTCCACATATAACTCTGATGTATGATTCTCTTTTCTCGAAGTCAATACCAATATCACTTTTTTTGTCATCAATTTGCTAAAAAAAAAAAAAAAACAAGGCCATAAAATTCTCTAACCATTCCTTTGAGTGTGGTTTCAATTAGCTGTTAGATTTCCTAGCAAATAAGATAGAGGAAATACTGTTCAGTCTTAAGAAATTGTTTATCAAACTAAGCAATCTATTTATGACTTTTATGGTCAAACATTGAAGATGTCAAATCTTAAAAATGGGAGCCATCATCAAAGGTTGTAAAGAAACTTAAGCCTAGGAAGTTAATATTGTGTGATAGACACTAATTCTAAAACACGAGCTATCTATATTGACAAGAGGAGCCTTTCTCTCCTGTGCTCTGTCTATCAAGCAAGCCCACTGTGATTTCTAAATAGATGTGCTGAAATGAATTATTAAGTTACAGTCACAGAAGACACTAAAATGCATTTCATAGCCACAGTGACACTAGAAATGATTACTCCATTTATCAAAGTGCCAGTGATTTTGGCGTAAATAAGGCAATAAATATTGAAGGAATTTTATTTCTATGTAAAGACTTTTAATGTGAAAAAGGTTAAATATCAGTGTACATATACAGGCACTTGGTATCTTGCTAGATTTGCTAGTGACATGCCAACATCTATGATTAATGGCTGAGGATGAAGTATTTCACATCAAGCAGGAATGAATATTAGCTTTATGTTCTGGAAAAGCACCGACCGAGGTAATTACATTCTGCCTATTAAAAATACTATGCACCGCCACCATAGCACCATGTGGTTAGGAAGTCTGATGCTTATTAGTTGATTAAATATCATGAGGTAGTGACTCTAAATGATTCTTGCTACCCGGAAGAAGACATTAACACTACTATGTTAAGTAGCACAAAGCAGAACAAGGTGCCTGGAGATCATCTTTGATGGACACATGTGAGTCTCTTTGGAGGTGGGTACTGTAACTAACTCATGGTTCCTACCCATTTTAGGGAAAATACTACAGGCCTTGGGGCCTGTATCTGGTTTCCATGACTTCAGAACTGGACTTCTCTAAAGCCATGGCTTCCCCAAACAAGCAGCATTACTAATTCCTTGCTTTGTATCTATTTTCTACAACAGAAAGAAACATAATGGCCTCTTGGTCCAGCTGGCAAGGGCAGTTCCACACACTAATTGCCATACCTTGCACTTACAGGTGTGATGCTCAGGGACTCTACATTAAAAAAATGTAAAGGTGACAACCATCTGGATGGTGGCACTCATAAAAGCTGCATATTAGTAAACTCTCCTAAATATGTTTTATGACTTACACTAGGTGATGGTTTGCATTATCTACAAACGTGCAAAACTAGAAAACAGCAGCTGGGATTAACATGAAATCTATCTACTTAAAAGTTAATTTTACCCACTGTTGAAATTATTTCTTAAAATTCAATAGTTTACATTTGCCTCAGCGAACAGCTGTGGACATGATTTTACTTTCATATAACTCTTAAAGTGCAATATCATTAACACACCAATATTCTTTGTAGGTTGAAATTTTTTTAGTTAACTTTCTTTTTTATGAAAAGACTAGAATTTTTGGTGGTGCTCATTGTATTAAAGTTAATCATAGAATTGTAAAATAGGACAAGGATGTTGGGCAGGGTAAACACAACACAAACTTATTTTCAGAAGCTTGTTTTATTTTTATTTTCTAGTGCTAGGTAATGGAGCCAGGGCCTTGCACATGCTGGGCCAGTGCTCCATCTCAGAGATCCAGCCCAGCCTATTTCCAGAAATTTCCACATATCCTTAAAGAGTACTTTTCTTGATTAATTATCACTCATTTTAGAAACAAAACCAGAAATACCTAAGAAAGATTTGAAATCCCATGAAGTCCCATCTCATGTGTGATTTAATTATCTAGTTGTTCATTTCCCATTTACATTTCATTAGTAAAGATGAACCAAATGCATCCAATACAAGTAAAAATTGTTCAAGATGTTTTTCATTTGTACCAAACTAAAATATTATATTCACTTCTTTATGTTTAATTAAAAGAGATAGCATTTCTCATAATAATATGTTAAAATACAGTTAAATTTTTAAATGTAACTCCAGCAGCACAGACACTGAGAGAAACAATTAATAATTGGGACCTCCTGAAACTGAAAAGCTCTGTAACTAACAGAAATGTAACAAAAAAAAAGACAGCCTACAGAATGGAAAAAGATCTTCACCAACCCCACATCAGACTGAGGTCTGATCTCCAAAATATACAAAGAACTCAAGAAATTGATCATCAAAAAAAAAAAAACCCAAAAAACCAAATAATCCAATAAAAAATGGAGTACAGACCTAAACAGAGAACTCTCAACAGAGGAATCTAAGATGGCTGAAAGACACTTAAGGAAATGTTCAACATCCTTAGTCATCAGAGAAATGCAAATCAAAACAACTCAGATTCCATATTACACCTGTAAGAATGGCCAAGGTCAAAAACACTGATGACAACTTATGCTGGAGAGGTTATAGGGAAAAGGGAAATCTCCTGTGAGTGCAAACTGGTACAGCCCCTTTGGATGTCAGTGTGGCAATTTCTCAGAAAATTAGGAAACAACCTTCCTCAAGATCCAGTAATACCACTTTTGGGTATATATCCAAAGGATGCTCAATAGTGCCACAAGGACATGTGATCAACATTGTTCATAGCAGCATTGTTTGTCATAGCCAGAACCTGGAAACAACCGAAATGCCCCTCTACTGAAGAATGGATAAGGAAAATGTGTTACATTTACACAACAGAGCACTACACAGCAGAAAAATTAAGGACATCTTGAATTTTGCAGGCAAATGAATGGAGCTAAAAAACATTATTTTGAGTAATGTAACCTAGACACAGAAAGACAATTACCACATGTACTCACTCATAAGTGATTTTTAAACATAAAGCAAAGAAAATCAGCCTGCAAATCACAATCCCAGAAAACCTAGATGGCAATGAGGATCCTAAGAGAGACATACATAGATCTAATCTACACATATAGTAGAAAATGACAACTTTGGGAGAGGGTTGATGGGGAGGGAAGAGGTATGGAGGGGAGCAGAGAAAAATGTAGAGCTCAATAAAAATCAACAAAATTAAAAAAAATATACAGGTTAAATTCTTATAAACTTGAAACCTGAGTATTTGAAATATTTTTGTAGCACTGACACAATACAAAAGGAAAACTTCACACCATAAAGATCTGCTTCATGAATAAAATAACAAAAATTAAGATATTATTTCCAGTATGCATAAGATATATATGAACCAAGTCAACCTGTGTTTGGAATGTAATTTCTTCTTTTGTATCTTTGCATTCTTCTTGCACAGTTCCTTGGTGCCACCATCTGATGACTAAAACTGCTAAAGCAGAGCGAAAGCTTTGCCAAAACCCTGCTGTTGTTTTAGACACAAAGACATAGACAATACCATTTCATACCACAAAGTAACATGAGTAAGTCATGTGATGTCTCTGGACCTTTGTTTTTCCACCTGTAAACTGCTATCTAATGTCTCCATCAAGAATCTACCATCTGTATTCCTGCTTCCTGATTCACCTTAAAGTCTGAGGGAAAATAATAACAACAGCAATAACAATAACTCTGTGCTTTTATTCCTCCTGCCTTGGTTTACCATAGAAATCCTCAATGTATGAGCGATTTGATTCGTTACTATCCATTGAATTCTGTGGCTCTCTGAAGCTGCTCATCTGTTTGGAGGCAAGGAATAGTTAACTGTGACGTTAACCAGAGGAGAAAACATTCAGATCCCATAGAAAAGTCCTTAGTGTTGGTGCTGCCATGTGAAACATATCCTCGGTGGGCTGGGGAGGCTGGAATCTGGGCATTATCTCAGTCCTGCTGTGAACTCACAAGTCTCACTAGTAAGAATCAGCAATTTAAAGAAGGCATCCTTGGTGGTTTTTCGTTGAGAATCAGACATTGCCAAATCCACGGTCTTTTAAGAAAGGCCAATTCAAAGTGCTAGGGGAACTGGCAGAGACCACAGGGTCACTTGTTAACAAAGCAGAGTGTAAGTTGAAACCCCCAAATTCAAATCAGAAAGTAGTAAG